TTACATTTTCGTTGAAAGAAACTTTTTTTTTTGATTTTGATGATCTTGCGTCAGATTACAACTCACGCACGTCAGATAACCAATTGGCAGGTGACGTGCGTCACCTGGAAATCGGCATCTGACGTGCGTCAGATTAGATCTGACGCAAGAATCGATCTGAGGCACAATATATATATTCAAAATAGAAAAGTAGCTTCTATACTATTGAGATTGTTAAATATTTTACTATTCATCATATTATTAGTTTAGTCAAAAAAACAAAATTATAGATAAAAATAAAATTGTAAGTAATAAAAATATTAATAAATTATTTATTTTATATATTCTTAGAATCAAGGATTCAAAGTTCTAATAATATAATTGAATTGTATAAAGTTATTGAAAAATATTAACGTAAAATAATTATTCATTAGAAATATTTTCATAATTATATTGATATATTAATTCAGATAACTGATGTACTTATAAAGCAATAATGATAATTAATTTTAGAATAATATATAAGTGAAGAATTTTTTGTTTTACGATCTTGTTGATTGTTACTATTGAACTATGAACAAAAGAAAAAATAAAAAAACAGTCCATCTTTTAACCTTTCTTCTTTACAATGACCAAAATAATTATTGACTGGACAAGATACAACGAATAATGAAAAAAATATCACAAATTCATCTCAAACTTTGTTGCAATTGAAATTATCTGCTTTAACTATATTATCAACTAATTCTCTTCGAGCTTCATTGCAATCAAAATTACCTACTTCAAACACCTTAACTATACTATTACAATCGTCTCAAACAACGTAATCAACTACATCAACACATTCAACAAATTTAAACAACTCATTGCAGTCTATCTCTTTAACTAAAAAAAGAAAAGCTGATATGGCAACTTTTGATCTTCTTATAACTAGTACTAGCAATAAGTTTAGCAAACAATTACCTATGAATTTTGTATATTTGATTTTATTTTATTTTTTATTTTTTTTTTCTTAAAAAAAAAATACTTAAAAATATAATGATTCTTTTATAATTTAGCCTCAAGTCATTGTTGACTCTTCGCTTTCTACTGTTTAATATAATAAAAATCTGAGTTAATATGTTTATATTGTTAATATATATTTTAGCTTTTAATATATTGATTAATAATATACTGTATTATTTATTAGTGCTACTATCTGTTGATTCACAAACTCTGTTAAAGATTTTAAGTATCAAACAAAAAAGCTTTACCCAAATTGAACATATTACTAGAAGACAAGCTAAACTTGAATATCTTATTACCGAACAATAAACAGGTTCTTGAAAAGTTAGATAATACTGAAGGAATGCATAATTCTGCTATAGACAAAAAAAAAAGAAAAAAAATAGAAGAAAACAGCAGATGATTCGTTTCAAGTAGTTGCTCTTTAACTCATTAATTAGATTTCATTTTTGTATTATTCATCAATATATTTATTACATGTACTGTAGGAAGCAGTTAGAGAACTTTCATATGAATTATTTCATGACTATAAGCAAATAAGCGATGCTGAAATAAAAGTGCAATTCAAAAATAAGTTAGAAAATAATAAAGATTGTGCAAAATACAGTACTTGTATCTATTAGAAGAAAAAGAATTTTTATTCGAAAGATTGTAGTATAAAAAATTATATTCAGATGTCAGTATTTTTTAATAATATTATATATAATATATATATATAATCTTTAATAATGTTACATGTAATATATTTATATATATTAACTTTGTTTATATATAGATGTTAGCAGCAAATTATCTAAAAAAAAGGTACTATTTTCATTGCATTAAAGAAGAACTTTGAACTACCTTTGGCATTAGTAAAATTAAATATTCAATAAACACAATACAAAAGACCAAATGAAACAATGGAAACAGAATTCTAGAAAAGCTTATGAAGATTTATATAATTCAAATGATTTAACTAATCCAAATTCTGATACTTTTCTTGCTTCAATTGTATAGTATATTTTGTTTCTAAAGATGAACAGACTCATATGAATGCTATCTAAACCCAAGCAATCTTGAAAATTATTTTTGATAAATATTACCTTTCCGCCAAAATTAATTCTAAAGTTATTAATATTTGGTTCCAGAAGTTTTTAAATAAAAATAATATGGTAGTGTATATTTATTGTATATAGTAACTAATAAATTAGTATTAGTTACTATACATCTAATACTAATTATTCTATTAATTACCGTTCAGTTTTTTTTCTTTATTTTCTTGAATTTTTTTAATTTTTAGAATATAGAAATTACTTACGGTGAATCTTACAAATTAAATAAAAATAACAATAATGGAAATAACAATGATGAAAATAACAGGAATTTGTTTGAATCTTATTATGAAAATAACCAAAGTGATAGTATTGATGAAGATTGTGATAATGATGATGACAATTATATTGAATAGAAACAGAAAATAAGGATAATAAATAGCTATAGAAGGTTGTTTTACTTGAATAGTCATAGTTATATAACTCACTATTTAATAAATTAGTTAATAGCATATTGTCATATTAACTAATAAATTTGCAAGTTTTTTAAACTATATTAAATAATAAAAATAGTTGTTTAATATATTATTTTGAAGTATTTAAATAGTATTGATTAATGTTTTAAGTTTAATACTAATTGTTTAATATAGTTAGTCTGTATAGAGTTTGTTTTTCTATACTATTTTAGTATTAAATAACATTATGTGTAAACTAATACTTTTCAAACATCTTTGAAACTTCTTAATAAAAGTTGTTATAAAAAAGTTAAACAATAATAAATTATAGTTAATTGTAATAGTTATATAAATATAAAATAAATATAAAAGTTAAATATTGAGGTTATAGTTTTATACATAAGTAAAGTAATATGATATATTGTAGATAAGATAGTAATTAGTAGTAGTAAAGATAGATAAATTGTCAAAAATTTATAAATAATAGTAATACAGTATATTATATTGTTATAAAAAAAAATTTTTTAAATAAATGTAATAGATGAAGAATTTGTGTTTGTTAAATGAAATAAAATCTAATAGTTTTAGTATTTAGTATTTTTTACTGGCTCTTAAACCCAGATGTTGCTTCAGGGGCTTGGCTTTAATTTTTCTAATTTTTAATTTTTTAATATTAAAAGTTTTTATATATTTTAAAAATATAGTTTTATATATATTTGTTTTATAATATAGCCCAGGTGTTATTCTAGGGCTTGGTTTTAACTTTTTTAGTTTTTAAGTATTAGTATTTAAATTAAATAAATTAAATTATATATTTTTTAATAAATATAATTTAATTTATATGGGCATATTTACAGAATTAAATTAGTTTTTTTAGGGTTTGCTTTTTTTTAAATTTTAAAAGCAAATAACTTTTAATTTATAAATTTTTAAAAAATAATTTTATTATCATCATATTCACCTCTTTAATATGATTCTAACAAGTCCAAAATCATCTAAATCT